GGGAGGTGGAGGGAGGGTGGAGGGGGCATACTCACCGGAAGGCGCGGGGATTGAGGCCGGCGTGGTGGGGAAGCATGGTGGTCAGTGCGTTCTGCAGCATCAGCAGCCGCCGGTAGGTCTTCTCCTGCATGGGCAGCAGAAGCCCGATGCCACCGTCCAGTGTGGCTGTGGGGGGGACAGTGTGAGCCAGGTGATCCCAGCACCACCTGCCCCACCCCATGCCCCGCCCCACAAGGCACTCACCAAACCACGTGATGTGTTTGTTTTCCCACACGACCGATTTCTTACTGGGCCCCTCAGCAGCACCCCGGCATGGGGTCCTCCAGAAGGTGTTCACGTGGGCACCCACGTGGAAGTCTGCCCGACGCAGCAGACGCATGCCGCCAAAGCTCTCCTTGGCTGAGCCAGAGGGACCTCAGGTCATGGCCCACCCCACCTCCACCCACTGCCTAGCCCAGGGGTCAGGGAGTACTCACCTTCTGGCAGGTACATGTATACCATAAGGTTGCGGTCACGGTCAGATACTGGGAAAAGAGCCCAGAGTCAGCCCTGGCCACCTCCAAAGTCCCAGGAACCCTGGCCCCCACGCCCTGCACTCACCCAGAAAGCCCAGCTGGGCATTATCCACCATGAAGTCCACGCTGTACACTTCCAGGGGCTTGGCATCCTGGGGACAGAGGGGGGTGTCACATCAGGGTCTGCCTGGGGACAGGGACCACCCAGCACAGGGTGCCGGCCCCACGGCCCCATGGGTACCCGGGAAACAAGGCTCAGCGTCTTGCTGTCCTCCTGGTAGCGCAGCAGTGAGATGCTCTTCATGACGTCTGCGGCCAGGATGAAATTCTTGACGCTGATCATCTGGTGGATGTACAGCTGGGTGTCAATGAAGGCCATGCCCGTTAGCTCGCTGGCACGCAGGCTCCACAAGAAGATCTGCGGACAAGAGAGGTGGCAGCCAGTGGCTTGCAGGTGGGCAGAGCCATGGGGTTGGGACAGGCCAAATGGGGCAGGGACCCCCACCTTCTGGCCAATGGCTGACACCAGGTGGCCATTGCAGTGGCATAGGGCGGTCACAGGCCCTTTCTGCTCCTTCTCATACAGGACCTTGAACTTGTTTTTGGTCAGGGGCTGGCCAGGCTCAGGCACCACCTCGATCACATCCATGATCAGGATCTGCATACAGGGAGGGTGGTGGGTGACGAGAAGGGACCACATAGGGGCCGCCAGCACATTTGTCCCTGCCCACTGGCCCCTTACCCGCCCACGGCAAGTGACCTCCTCCCCCTGCATAAGGCAGGTCCCGGCAGCCACATAGCCTTTGAGGCCTGACACAGTCTCCTCACTGCGCAGGGACACCGTCTTCATGCACGTCACATGCTCCCACTCCTCCAGCTCAATCCTGTAAGAGGCTGAGTCAGGATGCAATCCCTGCCACCTGGCCACCCACCCAGCCCAGCCTCACCTGGCATTGGGGATGGCCTCCCAGCTGACTGGGGAGATGAGCTGGATGGAGAAGGCCTCCTGCTGGGGGTGGATGTACCGGTCATCTGCAGTGATAGAGCACTTGTCAGGGAGGGGTGGCCCCAAGAATAGGCCCAGCTCGAGCACCGCCTACCTCTCTCAATGGTCTCAAACTCCTTCTCCTCGCCCGTCATGCGTGGGATGCGTGTGCATGGTGTGTTGGAGCTGGTGGCCACAGTGTACACCTGGGGGAATGGAGGGTGTCACATACCAGAGACCAGGCACCCAGAAGGTTCCTGGCATTGAGGGGAATTCGGACCTTGGACTCCACGTGGTAGGCCACGTAATGAGCCGTGCAGCGCAGTGGGATCTTCCTGACAGGCCACGGGGCATCATAGGACAAGTAGGCAGGCAGAACGCTGATCCTCAGTTCGCCCTGGGGGATATGGGGGTCAGTGAGCCCAGGCACCTGCTGAAAGCAACACAGGCAACCCCAGGCCCAGAGGGATCCCTGGGATTAGCCCTGACTCTGCTGGAGCACAGTGAGCAAGCAGCTGCAGCTTGCCATCTGTCCCTTCTCTCAGGCTTGCCTACGGCTAGGATGTTGGCCACAGCTGTGGTCTGGGCGAGGGCAAGGGAGGGCCAGGAACAGAGAGCACTAGAGACTGGAGACTGGAGGCTGGAGGCAAAGGGTGGCGGACAATGGTCATGCCAGGGTATGCACAGACAGGTGAGGGAGACCCTGCCAGGATCCCAGCCCCTCCCTCACCCACAGTCCTAGGGGCATCAGCACATCATCACTGAGTTCTCAGGCGACACATATGAGGAAAGTGAGGCTCACAGAGGATGAGCACTTCAACCAGAGTCACACAGCTCCTAAGGGCAGAGCTGCAATCTCAGCTGACAAAGCAGTGACAGTGATGACCCAGGCCACCTAGGCAGGTGCCCTCAACCCATCCTCCAAACCTTCCTAGCATTAAGCCCAAGTTTTACCTCCTTGGCCTGGGCCCCCACCACCTCTGCACACTCCATCCCCAGTCACCAAGGGCCTCATTTCCAGGCCCCAGCACCTGTTCCTGCCCTGGGCAGCTCCAAGAAGACATCTACCTGTCTGTTGAAGTACAGGAAGCCGCGGGGGCAGTTGACGTTGTGGAATGGGGCAAAGGAGTCGATGGGGCCATCGATGCCCATGGGGTGCAGACGCAAGGCCCCCCGGCCGGTCACCAGAAGCCAGTGGGGTGAGGGACCGCAGATGAAAACCTGGGGGCAGCACTGTGAGGAGGCTGCTGGAGCAAGGCCCCTACTGCTCTGGCCCAGCTCCCACAAAGCCACCTGTTTACCCCTGAGTAGCCGTAAATGTCCTCGAAGTAGCGGAACCGCGCCACACGCCCTCGGGTCCCAGCCCCTTCCTCAGCTCCACCACCATCCACCTTCTTCTTGGACAGCTTAGGCTTCTTCTCTCGGAAGTTGATGTTATGGGGGACCTGATGGTGGAGGTGCTGTGAGTGCCAGGTCCCTGCCCCCACCCTTCCCCATGCCCCTTTTGGCCACCCCGCACCTTCTTGAAGCGAACTTTGAGGTTTCCCTGGCCGAGCTGTGAGTCGTGGGCAAAGGCCTCGTAGATGAGCAGCTCTTGGTCCACGTGTACCTGGGGATGGTGTCGCGTCACCAAGGGGCCTGGACAGCACAGGCATACGCAGTGTCGTGGGGAGGCAGGTAGGCACTGGCCTATGCTCACCAGCAGGTAGGGCCTGCTCTGGCGGCTCCCAAGCGCTACCAGCAGCACCTCCTTGACAAGGGGCAGCTCCCCCTGGCGTGTGGCCTCCTCCTTGCGGGCCTCACCCTGCGTGGTGGGCTGACCAAACGAACTGTCCACCAGGACCCGCTGCCCCACTGGGAAGTTCTTTACCAGGAACACCAGCCGCCAGTCAGGAAGCTGGTAGACCTACGAGGGGAGAGGCAGGAATGGAGGTGGGGGGGGGATGTGG